TAGAATAGAATATAATAGAATAGAATATAATAGAATATAATAGAATATAATATAGATTGTTTATTTGTGTCTGCTTAGTATTTGTTTTGTCACATATTTGTTTATAGGTGTTTCTTTCATATCTGTTTGTTTATCCGTATTTGGTTCTTGTGTTTATCTCATAACTGTTTGTTTGTGTGTTTGTCACATATTTACTTATATGCATTTTCTCGTATTTGTTTGTTTGTTTGTATGTGTTTGTTCCATTTGTCTCAAATGTGTGTGTTTATATGCGTTTGTTTTCTATTCATCGTCTCGTGTGTGTTTGCCACATATTTGTTTGTTTATGTGTTTGTTTCATACTTTTGTCTCATATTTGTTTGTTTGTCTCGGCGTCTCCTCTGTGTTGATCTCGTGCTGGATTTTGCATCGCTGTGTCTGTTTTTTTGCTTCCAGCTGTTCATGCAGGTGAATCTGAATATTAAACACCTGCAGCTTCAGAAGCACACGCTCAACATCTGTCCTCCTTCTGCAGCCAAAACACCATCAGCGTCGCCACGGTAACGACAGCTCTTCGTCACCTCGTCCTCCTCTTCATCAGCTCATGGTTTGGTAAAGGAATCCAAACCGTCTAATCTGATGGACGTCATGAATCCATTTTAGTAAATATCGATGTGACAGTCGTCGTCTGTTTCTATGTGTGTGTGTTGTATTGTTGAGATGTTTGTGCAGCAAACGTTTAAGTTTAAACGCTGCTGTGACCTCTGACCTCTGAGCTCCGTCTGATTGGTTGTTTCAGTTGTTTAAGTCTCCAGAGTGAAGCTGATTGGACGTACAGCCGGGGTTTGAACAAAAGCTCAAGACAGCTTCCTGAAGTTCATCCGTTCATTCATTATTTCCTGTAAGTGAACAAATCTGCTTTGAAAAGTCTTTTCAAAAACCTCGCCACTTTCAAAAAGCCTTTACTTTCAACGTGGAAATTTACATTAACTTCGACAAACTTTACTGAAAAAAACAAAAACAAAAAAATTCTTTGACTTTAATCAAATTTAATGTGAACTTATGTAAATTAAAAAAAAAAATCCTCTCCAGAATGAAACCAACTCGTATCGTGTGCCAAAAAAAAGACTTTTTATTTTACTTTTATATATATACTGATTGAATTTAAGCAAATGTGTCATTTGAGCCACCGGAAGTTGAAAACATCTCTGCTTCCAGCTCAGATCTCCCTTCTGTCCGTTATCTGAATATATTTACATTTTACCTATATTATTCATGAGGACCTCCTTTGATTGGCTGTTAGGAGCTCACCTCCAGCCAATCAAAATGCTGCTCACTTAATATGTAAATATTCTCCCATGCAGTTTTTTCCCTGTTGTTTAACTTCATTATGCCACTACTGGACATTCTGCATGTTTTGTTTTTAAAAAAACATTTTCAAATGCGTCCCCACTCCCATGAATAAACAGCAAACACAAACAAAGGACAAAACAACAGCAACAAGTTCATTTAAATCTGCTCAAGTGAATGATAAAGACAAAGATTTCAGCAACACAAGCAAAAAACAAGCAAAGAACTCAAGGATGGAGCACAGCTTATGTTTCCCTTTTAACAGATGATTTGCTTATTAAACAAACACACTGACTGTTGCTGCTTTTGCCTTCATTATTAAAACTAGTGCATAAAAACATGACAGAAGCAGAAGGTTTTGCTCAGAAAAAACGCTCCAACATCACCTTGTTCCACTCTGGAAAGTAATCCAGGGAATCTTTAACCACCGTTTCATTAAATGCACGACTGTGAGATGAAACTTCAGAAATCAAACTTAGATCAAACCTTTAGTTGGCAAATATTTACCACAATAATGTTGGTGATTATACCAACTTGATATTAATGTCATCACCTGGCTCGTGGGTTATAATAAAGGAGCACAGATTGAACTCCAAATAATAATGTTTATTATAACCAAAAGCAAACCATTTAACAACTAATAATAAGTATGGTGTGTGACTATCAGTAGTGTGGATGTGAATGAGTGAACATGATGGGATGTGAGGTGTTGTGGAGCAGAAACAAAGCAAAAAGGTAGCAGAGACTACGGTGGCCCAGAAGTGTCACAACACAACACAACGGCTGCAACGGAAGTTTTTTTTTGTTTTCTTTTTTAAACCCGGAAGTTATACTGTGAAGTGCTTGACCACACGAAGTGGGCAGAAGCCGGAGATTGTTGGAAACAACTCGAAAGTAAGTAAAATACTGATGGCAAATAGTGTCCATTAATCTCGGTATGCGCTGTTAGTAAACATTATTTACTATTATTATGAATATTATTATTTACTAATCACCTATAATACATCTAACTATTGCTCCTCCTGCAGCTGCAGACAGAATCAGAGAGGATGATGGGAGTCGGTGTCCAGCAGGTGGCGCCACAGGCCATCAGCTGACTCGAATCTGCTTTTAAAAAACTGCTACCAAGGTTTGATCAGACTGAGAGGCTTTACTGATCACAGCGTTTGTTCTGTTTGTCTGTTTTAGATTCAGTTTGCGTTTGAAAGGTGAAAACGATAAACATGAACAGTGGCACTCAGTCTGCTGGTTATTTTATATGGAAACAATCAGCATAACTTGTTAGTGTAAAGGTTCTAAAGTCAGATTCTGAAGCATCAAACCAAATCTGAACCCTTAAAAGTCAAACAGAAGCATCTGTGACTGAAGCATAGAAGCAGTAAAATAATCAGAGACACAAATTTTACTTGTTTTTTTTTATTTCATGTTTTAGGCTTATTTCAACAAAATCTGCAAATCGAAAAGGAAACAAAGCAGAATATCGTCAGCTATGTAGCTATAAGCACTCATCTTCCTCCTGACAGACGTCTTTCACCTCCACTTTGATCATCGGCTGGTAACTGTCAGACATGGAGGCCAAGATGGCGACCAGCTCGCCCTCGTGGCTCAGGCTCGACTCGCTGGCTCGACCCCTGACGAACGTGCTGTCGGTGTTGTTGTACATGTGATCGTACAGATCAAAGCTGCACTCCTCGCCCTCCTCAAACACTCCCACCGCGTACCAGTTGGAGTACAGGTTGAAGTCGTAGGGCACCGAGAACATGACGGCCATCTTCCCGGCGCACTCCTGCGTAGACTCATCCACCAGGTCGTAGGTGACGACACCCACGACCCCTCGAGCCGTGTTGGCCGTCTTGGTGAAGAGCGCTTTCCCGGAGGACGACGGCTCGATCTCAGGCGGCAGAGGCTCAGAACAGCTGCCGCTTTCAAGGTAAACTCTGGAAAGAGTGAAAACACAAACACGTGAACCAATCTGAAGCAGTTATGGAGAGTTTCCTTCAGTTAGAGAGAGCAAAGCGCAGCTACCCGGGGTTAGAGAGGATGTACTGAGAGCTGTCGTTAGTGATCTCTATGGAACACTCCCGATGCGTTGGGATGAGGTCGGCGATGTGATGGAAGGCGGACGCTGCATCGTTAAACACGGACAGGACGGTTGATGCATTGGGCATCTGAGACATGATGGCTGCTGCTCAGGACGTCCTGCTCAGAGAGACGCAAGGAAAAAAAAAACTTTTACTAACAGACGCAAGAAGCAACTGTAAGAAAAAACTGCTCAAGAGAAGCAGAAGAACTCACCTCGGCTATTCTCACCAGGAATCAGTGACCGATGGCTGCCGTCTCCGTTTGTTGGGCCTTCAGACGACGTCCTTATAAAGAGGGGACGGCTGGTATCGGTACCTCTTTCTGCAGGCTCCTCCTTCCAATCAGGAAAGCGCTGTCAGCAAACACAGAGGATGGCAACGTGGGTCGGGGGTTCACTTTAACGTCAGTTCGTGGCAAAAATGTTTGTAGTCATGGTGAAAACTCAACATATCGTTTCTCATTCAGTGTTATCAGTTATACGTCAACAAGGAAGAGACTCATCGCTTAAAGAACCATGAAAGAATGAAGAGATGCTCCTTCTGTCTGCAGGTGATCTGAGGGTCCCGTTTCTAATTTAAAATCAGCTCAGAAAGTTGAATCACTCTCTTCCACTTTGTATCATTTTATACAAGCAGGACAGACAACAATAAGAGAGCGTAACGGCATCGAAAGCCTTCAACAAAAACTGAACTGTGTGTTCTCTTTCCCTTCTTATCCACTGAACCTACAATTGTTTCTGACATGTTGGTGTTTGCCACAGTTCCTACACATTATCTGGTCTTGTCTAAGCTGCCTGTTAGTGTTGATTCAAGCAGCAGCGTCTGACCATCCACTTGTTTACCAAAAGCATCTTAAAGTCAAGATGATCTCAGTCCAGGTTCACAGCCACAAAAAGAGATCCTGTTTTTTCAAAAGCTCCCACTCCAGACTTTAATCTGCGGCTACAAACACCTGGAACAGACTCTGCAGCATAAACCCAAACTCTTCAACTGAAAGATGCTGAGCTTGTTCTTTGTGTGTGAGAAACATGCAACGTGTGGACAATCAGAACGAAAGTGTTGCAACACTTTCTGTGGAAACGCATACTGAATAACACGCAAACATGAAAGATGTTAAACACAATAACTGTAGATCAACCAGAGTTCAGTGATAATCTACTAAATCCTCTGATCCATTGGGGGTTTGGACACCTGAAGCTGTGGGTTGTACTGTGGGGCTCCTAGGATCAGTATTGATCCTGTGGGTGTCCGATCAGATTGATATCTGAGGAGTTTGGAGTCAAGTTTTGGGCTCTTACAGACGACTGAGTGAGCTGCTGAAACTACACTTAGAGATAGTAAAGGCCGTTTACTACATCAGGCGCTGCTTGGCTTCTTTCTTCATGAATTTAACATTTTAAATCATTTTCGGCCTAAAGATGGTGAAAAACCCACAGCTCGTAATCAGCTGTTGACAAGCCGCTAGCAGGCGTTTGAGGTTTTTACTTGCTCTTTGGTGTGTGTTCAGTGAGCAGAGCCCAAAGAAGACTTGACTGTAAAAGTGCAACACAGGCGTTAATAATGCAACCCCAGTCTATCTGCCAATAAGCTGAACAAAAAACTGCAGAGGTGTCTGGTGTTCTGTGTCAATGTCTGTGTTTTATTCTCGCCTTATTTTAGTCCCTTACTCATTTTATTTCAGTAACATATTTTATTATTTCTTATCTACTTTTTAGGCTCTGCATTTCTGATGTGATGTCATTTTGTTTTTTTCTGAGCACACGGATTTCCTTTGAGATTAACAAAGTGATATCATATCTTATCTCAACTTATCTTGTGTTATCAGAATCCATCCATCCATCATCTCTACACCTTAATCCTCACCAGGGTCATGGGGGGCTGGAGTCTATCCCAGCTGACTCAGGGTGAAGGCAGG